TTGTAAAAACCGTTCTAAACTAGAAGCCTTTCCTTTTCTTTCTAACAAATTTCTGCTCGTCGTTTGTAAAAAATTCGATATGAGTGATCGTCAGGGAGAGTTCGATATACCATTATGAATAAAGTATTAATATAATTGTTTAATATTTAAAAAAAAATAAATTAAATTAAATTTAAAAAACTAAATTTTATTTTAAATTTAAAATTATCTAAAAACAGATTTTTTTAATATTATTACCAAAATGTTGCAGTTATATAAAATTAAAATTTTTTAAGTTTATTTAAATTAGAATTAAAGTTTAAGCTAATATTAAAATAAAAAAAATTAATAATAAAATCAGTCAAAAAAATTTTTGTTAAAGTATTATAAATAGTTTCTTATACTATATTTTAAAAAATAAAAAATTTTTAATAAAATAAATATTTGTTTTAAATTTTTCTAATTTGTAATATTCTATTTAATCTTAAAATTTAATTTGTTTATATATTTTTTTTTTTTTTATCTTTGGCAGCCACAATGGTCAACCAATCAAAAGTTTATTTATAAATATTTAATAAGACAATATACAAATAGAACTATATTTAACTTCATATGCCATTATCATATGGTTACTTAATTGGTATCTATGAATAACCTGTTGCACCAGACCTGCTAAGTCTGGATTGAGCTCATCTGTCTGCCATCCTACAATTGAACAGTACCAGTCTGATACTATTCGTTCATAAGGAGGTAAAAAACCAAAAAAAAATTTGGGAATGTATTAAAAAAAAATGTATATAAGAGAGAAACATGAAAAAACAAATATCAAGAAATAAAAGAAAAGGGGATTGCTGACGAAGGCCAGACAAACAATCACTAATTATAAAGATTATGTCAGTCTATTAAAAATTATATGTTACTAAATACAGTAATCTCTACTTTAATTCTATCTAATTAATATATTTAATACTAAAACTTATATCCTAAGAAAAACAATTCAACTAAAACTGAACTGACAGAGAATTTTCTATGTGCTAGACACTCTGACTCCTTGTTACTGGATCCATTTTTATGTATGACTCATCATACTTTTCACCAGATCTTATATTTCGATATTTGTCACATTTCTGACCAATCATCTTATCTATTACTAAAAATCTCTTATTTTATCTTATTGTTGTATTTTTTCAAGACACATGTACTCATACTTTATTTGCAACATGGACCCATTTTGAATAAAACTGATAAACAATCCCAATTTGGAAAGATCAACAATGCTAATTTCGATGAGAATAAGCTAAATTGCTCATTTTTTAATAAAAATTTCTTGGAAAAAAATGGAAAAGGAATTTTTCAAAGCAGCAACTGTAATAAGTATAGAAATTTACGTTATATAGAATAACATATTCAACCAAGCTTTTATCTTTGCCGTTACTCAGATATAGTTTGACAAAAACTTCCTTAGTTGTAACCAAAGTTACTTTTTTGATAACTCCATAGACTTCTACCAGAAACCAAACCTACAAGGAACTGTTTTTTTCAACTCTTTTTCATATAAGCCACATGCAATCTAAAACTCTTGAACCCAGACACTATATGACAAAGTTTTGTTGTGTATAAATATACTAACTATATAATTTTCATAGGTTGGTATATGTGAAAAAATTGGTGCAAAGGATCATCAGGATTTGTTTATATTACATTTTAACAAATAGTTTTTAAAGTAAATCTTTTTTAGTATTATTACCAAAATGTTGCAGTTATATAAAAACCAAAAATTCATTAAAATTCATTTAAGTTAGGATTTATGTTAATGTTAAAATTAAAAAAAATTTACTAGTAAAATTGTTTGAAAATTTTTTTTTGTATAGTTTTCTATGTAAATTTTCAAGTTATAAATGATTTTTAACAAAGTAAACATTTGTTTTAAATTTTTTAATTATGTAACATCCTACCTGATCTTGAAATCTAATTTGTTTGCACCACAAATATCTCACATGACTGCAACAATTTGGTGGTGATATTAACTCTACCAAGGCGGTCTTCAAAAATACAAGTCATGTGGTGGCGCCATCTGCCGTAGTTGCAGCAAATGAATCAGTACTGGATTTATTGTGCTATTGCTAATGAAAATTTTAACTCTGTATTACATATTTGCATATTAAATATAGGTGGTGTCACGACATAATCCGTATTTTTGAAGGCCACCGTGGTAGAGTTGGCGATACTGAAGCAGAACTTCCGTAGCTTACCCACAAGATTTTTTCCGGCACGTGACCATGGCCAATTAGATTGAAGGAGCAGGTGTAACGTGAAAATCATGCCTTTTAAAAAATCGCTATTAACTCGAAATTTTACCTATGAAACTGCCTGCTGCGTTCTAATAAAAAAATTCTTTGTGAAATTTTAGTTTAAACTATGACCTTCCTTATCCTTAATCTTAACTCTAAATATAATGCTTATTACTTTAAAATCTTTTGCTTAATTCGATTGTTTTGATTTTACGTTACACCTGATGCTTCGATCTAATTGGCCAAAAATCACGTGTCGAAAAAATCTTGTGGGTGAGCTACTAATGCCCTGAAACGGATCTTTCCCAGTATCGCCGTCAAAATTTTCACTTTCACGTGACCGCGGTTAAAAATCTTTAAATTCGTTTAAGTTAGGGTTAGCGTTTATAATAGGGCTAGGTTTTAGAAGAGTAATAGTAAAATCACTCGAGGAATTTTTTTTGTTAGAGCTCAAAAGGTGGTTTCTTATGCAAGTTTTTGAGGAATAAGCGATTTTTGAAAAGCGAACGTTTTGTTTTGATCTTCCTGATCGTGTAACGTTACATTAAAACGAAACACACTATTGGATGATCATCACGTGAAAGTGAAAATTTGACGGCGATCCTGGGGTAGTTCCTGAAACGGAGTTAAATCACGTGACTCAAGGCCAATCAAAGTATGATCGCTGATGAAACAAACAAGAAATAAATAAAAAAAAATACGAAAAACGGCAGTCTAAACCTACCTCGGGTAGGTTAATTAAAAATGTCAGGAAGGCAATTTTGCTTATACGTATATAACTATCTAAAACCTAACCTAACCCTAATATAAGGTGGCCCTAAAGTTAACTCAACAGAATATATTATAAAGAATCTACTCCCCCCATATTTGGATTGAGTTATACGTTGACAGTTTACGTTTAAAAGATAATTTTTATCCATATTCCCTGACTATATAAACTCTATCTCTTCAAAAGTCGTAACCTGAAAGTGTAGAAATAGATATGTTATGAACTTTGAATCGTGGTTTATTTTCCTATTTTTTGCAACTCAAATCAATATGATTGGTCAATCAAATCTCGTGATCAAACGCGTATGATAACGCGCCGGATAAAAAGAATAGAAACACTGATTTAATGCTTAATCGGCTGAATATATGCATTTTTATAACAAAGATATTTAATGTTAAATAGCTTAATTTTTTCAATTAGCTTAATTTTCTCGCTTCGTTTTATTTCAATATATTAAATTCACCGATGCCATCCGCAGCGTGTGAAACGCCAAAACGACGTCACTCAATTGGTTCACCACTAAAGAATCATAGAGAATTTACTGTCCCTTTAAATGACGATGCATTAGAAAAAAGCAATCGAAGAAAATCTTTAGTAGATTCTGTACGAAGATCTTTATTATTTGCCTCTCCATCGGCGGTAGCTTCAGGTTCTGAAAGCCAAAATGCTCCTGGTAGTCGAATGTCTACTCCTCAACGTGTAGGTACCTTGTCATTAGAGGCTGTCACACCTATACCACAAATACCTGTCGAACAAATGTATTTGAATTTCGAAGAATGGATGAAAATGGCTACCGATAATGTATCAATTGTTTCATTAGTTTTAATCTATAATATTTTATTAATAAAAATGTTTCAGTATTTCATTGAATGTTTTAATTAAATAATATATTAGAAAATTAACGCTAACAATAGTTGGAAGCTTGCTCTAATCGATTATTTTCATGAAATGAGTTTATTAAAAGAAGGCGATTCGATAAATTTTCAAAAGGCTTCTTGTACTCTGGATGGATGTGTAAAGATCTATACATCACGTGTTGATTCTGTCGCCACCGAAACCGGAAAATTATTAAGTGGTTTAGCTGATAGCTCAAGTTAGTTTATTAGTCCTTTTTTATTGTCGAATTTGTATATTATATCATGATTAATAACTCTAATTATCGCTGATACATAATCATGTAGAGAGTAATAATGAAGATAACTTGTCCGATGGTGACAATGATAATGCTGATTCTGAGAGACCCGCTCGTAAGAAGGTAATTTGAATATTATTAAAATGGTGTTATTCTATCTTAGTCGATTAATTAAATAAATAAGTATATATTATATCTAGACCTCAACAACCGGCGCTGCAACTTTAGTTAAAGATTATTCTCAGTTGACATTAAAGAAATTTGATTTGGAATTTTCTATTGATCCTTTATTTAAAAAGACTTCGGCAGACTTTGATGAAGGAGGTGCTCAAGGACTGTTATTAAATCATTTGTCGATTGATACTGATGGAAAAATCATATTTGACGCAAGCGATGCCACTCTGGACGAAACTGAAGAAAATGAAGATGATGAAAGAGATGCAATGGAAGAAGATTCTCCGGAACAAACTATTGATATATCTAAACTTCGTTGTGTGTATATGCTTATTATTTTTATGATTGATGTCATTTTGAATGACTATATTTATCGTAGTATATGGAATATGATTTCTTGTTAATATATTTATCAACAGCCAAAATTTTTCCAGAACTTTCAAGGATTTTCACTAAAGATATTTGTCCATCATTAAAATCGTTTGAATTTTCTGTTGATGTGGGATTTCTTACGCGAAAAGTATCGGATGATGACGAAGAAGAACAAGTTATCGTTGATGATGTCGGTGATGAAGATTATCCAGACTTTTTTGATGATAATTTTTTAAGTGGCGAAGATGGCGACGGTGGTGGTGATAACGGTGATGACGGCATATCTGGAGTTTTTGAAAGATTCGATGGTGATCAAAGGAGGCCTACCGAAACCGATTTTATTATGGCCATGGTTAATAACACAAATGAATTTCAGTATTTTGATTCCGCATTTTTATGTAATTGGGTTGGTCCGGATCACTGGAAATTAAAACGCGTTGTCAGAGGTATTGCATGTATTATTGTCAACTTTGTTATTTTTATTTGGTTAATTGATTTTTATCAAGCCTCTTTTAAATAATAACTTTCAGGTGACGCTAATAGCGAACCAAAAGAACGAAAAAAAAAGGAGCCTTTTTCCATCGATTTTATTGATTCAGAAGACTTAAATGAAAGAACTATTTTTGCTTCTGCTGGGAATTCGATCACTTTGTCTAAATTGACTGAAAATGTTCCGCATGCTTATCAACTTCCCGATGATTTACGTTTTTCATCAAAACAATTACTTCAGTTATTCTTAAAGCCTGGATTTATGGTATTTATTTATTATAATCATAAGCGGTTGAAAGACAAGCATTATTTCTAAATCTGGATTATAAATTCCTTACAAAGTTGAAAGCAAGACGCAGATACGAAGAACAACTTGCTGAAAGTAAGAATCATTAGTTCATGTTGGTTAATTATAATACTTATTAAACTTATTTTGTCGTAACTATTATCTTTAGCTGATAACATTGAAGTAGATGAAAATTTCTGGGCCGAAGAAAATAATGACCATGCAACAAACACATCATTCCCAGATATGAGTGAGTTGTTTAAATTTTAACTATTTAAAGGGCAACAAAAGTAGTTACTAATGTCTATCATTGTATTTTTTAGCAATGGTAACTACTGGAGACACATTTTTACATGATGATGATGGATTTGAGGAGGACATAGAAGGGGAATTTGGTGATAATTTAGTATCACAGGCGAGGAGAAATAAACCGGAATATATAAAATATGCCAAAACTGCCAAAAGGATTGATGTCAAAAAATTAAAAGAAAATATATGGAAAACATTAACGGATGCTACGGTACATACGATTTTATTTATTTAACTTAGGTGATTTATTTTTTATTTATTTTATTATTAAACTATTGAATTTAATTAAAATCAGGAAAATGATTCCAATATATCGACCATAAACAATGACCATCAACCTCCATATGACCAGTGCTCCCTAGACTCAACACAGAAAGTTGATGAACAAAAATTTAGTCGAGTTATAAAGAATTTAAAAAAGATATATCCAGAAAAAAAAATGAAAGATATATCCGTGTCATTTTGTTTTATATGTTTATTACATTTAGCAAACGAAAAAAATTTAAGTATATCTGTAGAAAATGATAAATTATCAGAATTGACGATTCAACAGGTAGAGATGATGATCAATTAGGGAATATCGATCGTTTGATTGGTTTGATCATAAAAAAATTTTTTTGAGCATGGTCGGCCGTCATATCTGACACCATGCATCGCTCACATTCTTTGTAATAATAAGTCTTCATTATTTTTCATTCTAATTCCGTAGGATTGATGACATGTTTTAAGTTAACATCTGCAAAGTTGAAATTAGCCCTTGAAATTAGAGCTTGTAGTGTTACGAAATTTTTCGTAATAAAGTTTATTACTTTATTTTCTTTTTTTTTTTTAATTGTCACATTTTTAATTATTGGTTAAAAAATCTTTTTTAATAATACGACAGGGCAAAATCCGTACTTAGCTCACATAAGGGTTAAATACGATTTTGCATAATTAAAAAAATTATATCTTGATTGGAATCCTTCTCATATTATGCACCAAATATAATGCAGTAGTTAAAAGTGTTAAGCTACCAGCTTGATGTGCAGATGCTAATGGAATAGGAACCATATAAATTAAGGTACTAATTCCTAAGGTAGCTTGTATGTAACTTACTCCGAGAACAGAATTAATTGCCAAACGAGCTTTGGGTGGAAGTGTAAGTCGACGAGAATATAACCACAATGCTGTTATCGCGCATAGTGTTGTCATGGCCTATAAATTCGAATTTACCAATTAATATTAAAGTGGCATAATAAAATTGAAAACTTTATAAACATACCAACACTCGATGGTCGAATTGTACAGTTGTTGGATTATCAAAGAAATTTCTCCATAAATCACTTTCACCAAACTTTGTGTATGATTTAGAAAATAGTTCAGATTTAGGGGGAATTATACTTGTTCCCATATATGGAAATTCATTATAAATTAATCCTGCATCCAGGCCAGCTACCAAAGCACCTATTTAAATTTGCGATTAATATAATATCTATTATATAAGTTAAATATTAATTCCTAATAAATCTCACCAGACATGGAGGTCAAAAATATTAAAATGGCTGTGCAAATGGCTAAACGACGAAATCTATTTAAAGAAGGGTTGGCAAGAATTTTTGCTACTTCCTATAGGTATATGAATTATGTAAGAACGTTTAAATAGTATAATTTTAATAATGTACTTTTTGAGTTTACCTTAGGAAAGGTGTCATAGGCTACCTTTGAATCTCGCAAAATTTGTAGTCCGGCCAGAAACATCCCTGAATAAAGGATAAATGCGCTACCCAAATGTGCTGCTAATCGATAATGACTAACACGAGGAACAGAACTCGGTGTTGACATTAATTCTTCAGATAATCCGGATTTAACCATATACCATCCTAAGACACCCTGAACATTCCATCGAAAATCTTCAAAAAAATAAATCTATTTTATAATAACATCTAAGTATCATTAGAATACCTGGAATCCAAGTAATCCAACTAGGCCCATAATCTTTTTAGTTGTGGATCTTGTCATGTACCCGCGAAACCCAAAATAAGCAGCTGGCAAAACCACAACCAGTCCGATCATTCGTCCCAACATTCGATGTGACCATTCCATATAATATATGTACTTAAAATCTGATAATGACATTCGATAATTCAATCTTTGATGACAATTCAAATATACTAAATTAAAACTTTAATATGTGTAGAAATGTTAATAATTAATTGAAGGCTTACCTACAATTTGTACTCCGGAAATTGCTTGTATTTTTCAAATTCCTCCTCCCATTGGGAAAGTGTTATCGGAGGAATAATACCAGTTATTGGTTTCCATTCAACAATGGAAAGCCCGCTTTCAGTTAATCTTGTAAGACCTCCTAATACGACTATACCAAAAACTAACCCGGAAGATAAAAGCAACCAACGGCCAACAATGGGTTTAGTATAATTGTTAGGTGAATCTATTTTATGTGAGGACGAATGGTAAAACCTAGAAATGGGGAACGAAAAACCCTGACGAAACGACGAAACTCTAGTGAAAGACGAAACCACACCATGGCGAAAGACGAAACCCTTGGTGAAATGACGTATGCTAGTGTTATATTGCTTAGAAATTAATTTTGGAATAAGAGTTGCTTCGCCTCTTAAATAGAACGTACGAGCAACGAACATCACGTTTCGAGTACGCGTTAACATTTTTGAGTTAAAGATAATCTAGTAAAATTTTACTAATTTTCCCAATTTCCAATTCATCTGATTGGTTAATTTTTGTGGATCTATCCATGATTGCCCGTGATAATCGACCAATAAAATTATACACAAGCACAATATACGTTTTATTATCAGTAAACCTACAACTTAAAATTTCCTACGATTAACAGACATCAAATGAACTCAAACATAAACCCAGTTCTTTTATTGAAAATTAAATTTAACTTGATTGAATTTTTACAAGCGCATTTTTTTTATTTTTCTTGAGTTAGTTGATTGCCTACAATACTTATATGAAATAATTTTGTCCTTGAATAAACTATATCAATTTTGAGATCTTTTTAAGATTCTTTTTGCAGTGAATATTATCGTTCGTTGAAAGTTAAAAATGATATTACGATAACTTTCTGTTAGTGAAACATGACGTTCTTAAAAAGTACTTTAAAATGTCAATAAGTTACCCAGGCAATTGATTTACATCAGCCAATTATACGAATGTCCGACTATGAACGCTATACGTAGCGAGTGTATCAACCTTAGAGGGTTAATACTACTTGTTAGAAATAATTTCGACTCGTAATAACAAATCTACATATAAAATAAAATAAATTAGCCCCGGCAAACTCAAACTAAAGGGACCCTGGCCGGTAATATGTATAAGTCGCAATAGTATCACTGCTCGCACACGACGCTACTGCAAGTGTATCAACCTTAGAGGATAAATACTACTTACTAGAAAATAATTTCAACTTGTAATACTAAATCTATATAAAAAATAGATTAATTTAAATTTTCTTTGTTAATCTCAAACTAAAAGAACCTTCAGATAGTAGTTACTGCTCACAATACGTAATAAATCTATAAAAAAAATAATATAAAATTAGCCAGAGCAAACTCAGACCAAAGAAACTTAGTATTATAATAATATTATTACTTGCATATGAATAAAAATAATGCTAACATTTAATCTAAAAAAATAAGAATAAGTTAATCACAATAAGCTCAAATTAAAAGACTAACTATAGTATCGCTGCTTATGCAAGTTATTCTACTTTCGTTAAGATCTGATGAAAAGTCATCTGTAAGTATTGCAAAAATATCATCAATATAAGATCTTATAATTATAATTATGAAACATAACTTCACAACGCTAATAAAAAAAAAAAAAATAAATTAGCTCTGAAAAACAAAAAGGTTCAGAAATATAAAATGTATATATATATACTTATTATAGTAAACTCTCGATATAGTAAAAAATTTTGAATTATAAAATTATTAATCTTCAACTTAATAGAATAGAAAAGATTTTTATTTTATTCTAATAATTTCACTATAACGAAAGTTATACTTACAATAGTATATGCATTATTAAACAATTTACTGAAAAGTACTAGAGGTCAAAACTAATAGTTTCACGGATAATCAAAAACCTCATTAAAAAAAAACCTGAAGACTATTAATTAATTACACAATTAGGCATAATGGGCATTCATGTTAATTGGTTAATATTTTATATCGGAAAAACATACCTACCAGAAATGTGTGCTTTCTGCAAAAAATTTTAATTTATTTTGATCAGTTTAGACAAGATTTTCGTTTGATTCTATTATTTTTTTTGGCTAAAGTATCATTTATTCAAATGAGAATTACCTTAACAAAATCAGAATTAAAGAACCTAATGGGTTATTTAAAATATAATTAAATAGTAAATGTTCATAAATACGTATTAGTAGCCTACCCGTAAATAATCAGATTTAAATTTTCAAAATAAATCAACCCTAAATTTGACATATAATTATAAAGATATTTGTCATATATACAATTGCTCTCAAAAAAAATACATTACCTAAAAACAAAATTTTGAGTTCGCATATTTTCTCAATGCTAATCTCAGTTGGGTTAACGTTAAAGTTAGTAGGCAAAATTTTGTCAGTAATTTTTTTCGTTAGTCGCGATTAATGTTTTTTGATTTTCACATTGCACTTAATATTGCTTTCTGATTGGCTAAAATCACATTATGTTATTAAGGAACGTCGATTTCATTCAATCAAAAATGCGATTTAGTAAATGTACGCAATGATGGGTTATGACAACTTTAATTAAATGACCAATGGTCATATAATTGTATGTGTACGCGGCGTTACAAATAATTATTTACTATTTATGTTATATAGTAAATATTTAAATGTCATTTACAAATGATTAGGTGTCACCTTTAATAGATTTAACCTCATTTTTAAAAATTAGACTATAGTTATTTAGAAAATAATATATTAGATATACTAACAGCTAATCATAAAAGAGTTTATACGTACGTAAGGTTGGAATCTTATATATGCAACTATATGACAAAAATGAAGTTGAATCGTTAAGTTCTTGCAAAAATAGTCATTTGAACCTTTTTTTGTATTAATATATTGTAATATAAGTATCATCTAAATGTTAATTAGTAAGATGCGTAATCGAAAGCATATATATATTCGATCCTAATAAACAAAGTTTTTAAATATATCATTACAATGTAATAAAATTCCAAATTACTAAAAACTATAAGTTTTTTGAGATACTTAGTTTTGAAGATTATTTCTCCTACTTGTTCCAACCGCCAAGTAAAGGTGTATCTCATCGATAGCACTCCCAAGTCATACTCCAACTATTCTCTCCTGTATCTCCCATGCAGAAGCCGGCTTCTTTTATGAATTTTTTTTTTTACTGTAGTTCGTTTTACTTCACATGAAACGAACTAAGCGTAAAACAAAAGCGCGTAACTTACATACGCCTAATTTAAATTGTTTTGATTATTACGTATGTAACACATCTGATCATCAATTTTCACTACCCAATCAAAATTGTGTAATGTAAAGCACATGCCACTTGTCTTCAACTTAATTAATTATTTTTTATTTTATCGTTATTTTTTATTTATTAATTCAAATTTTCGTTATTATTTTATATTTTTAGTAATTGATCTTCTTTAAAATCTGCTTTTTTTGGTATTTTTGAGTTTCATAAATTTCAAACATTTGTAAAGGTACTCTATATTTTTATTAGCGCTAGTTAAGCGCTTGCGATTGCGTATGAACAGCATTTTTCGAGGCGATGCGCATGCTCAAATTGCGCTCAAAATTTTTTCGCTTGTCGACTAAGGGTCGTTTAAATAAAATAATAAAGTATTAGGTAACACAACTGTAATAAAACGAGATAAAAATTAATATATATATATATATATATATATTTTGATTTGCATGAATAAACCGAAAATGAAAAATAAATTGTTCAAACTTTCGTCATTATTCACCTTATTCTTTTACAAATAATAATAAGATAGCTGCGCAATGTTGTCACGCAAAACCAGGAACAAAAGACTTAGAGTATTAGTATAGTAGTGATGTGTTATACATACAATACACTATGCACTGTACGTGGCAGAAGTTTTGAACGACTGCGCAGTGTGACTTTTAGAATCCAGGTTAGTTAGCATAATTGTGGCTAGCTAGTATAATTCTGGTCGGGTTGCATAATGCCGCAAACTGCGCAGTAGTTCATTCCTAACTGTAGGTACTATACACAAATTTTTGCTGGTCCTTTCTAAGGTAGTTAGTAAAGTAGTTCTGTACGATTATATAAATGTGTATGGACATACAAAGATTTATAGTGTATGGTTAACATAGGTTCGTAAAATTAATTTTTACAAGTCCATTATCTGTTTAACACAGGGATGTGACGAATTATTAGGCGTGACTAATAAATATTAGTTAATTATTTAGCTAATGCTTGCTCGTCACACAAATGATTCGTCACATCTTCATGCCAAATGAAAGAGGAAACCCAATCCTTTATAAGTAAACCATTTTTTATGTTTAGGGTTAGGGCAAGTGCGAGCATTGTTCTTTTTTCGTATGAGGTTATAGGAAAATTAATTTTTTTAAAAGAATTTTTTTTTTTTACAAATCGTACGTACATCATGGTGTTGAGCACCACCGGTGTTGTTTAAAATTTTTTTACAGTATATAAAATTTAATTTGTCTTTAGATTATGTTATACGTATTTTATTATATATATTAAGTACATACGTATAAATATCTTAATAAAAAAAACTTTATTATAATACGTATAAAGGTCATAAAGTAACTTTCATTGGTCATAAAGGTCACTACTGCACTGGTTGTACGAGTACGATAACTGATAGACTTGTGATTTGATCAGCCAATCACAGGTTTCTATCGCTATGAGGATTACGTAGATCATGGCATAACCACTACCTCTATCGATTTCAGTTTAGTCGAAAAGAAAAAAAACATTTTTCGAGATGGTAAACTTCTTTTTTTTTTTTAGAGGCTTAGTTATCGGTTGAATTATTGCGAAATGTTGCGATTTGCTTATTACATCAATTTTTCAGTCGATTATGAGCTATAATGGATCGGCCATGGTGGCCATGGTCGGAAAAAACTGCGTGGCTATTGCAGCTGATCAACGTCTCGGTGCCCAATTGATGACAGTCTCTACTGACTTTCAAAAGATATTTCCAGCAACAGCGAAAAGCTATATTGGGCTCGCTGGCTTGGCTACTGACGTCCAAACCTTGTAATTTGACTTAACAATCTATTTTGTTTTTTTTTATGTTTATATAACCTTCTGGATAATACGGTTCAACCCAAATTTTATAGATCCGAAAAATTTCGGTTTAAGATTAATATGTATAAGTTACGTGAAGAACGTGAAATTGAACCGCGCACTTTGTCACATATGGTATCTTCAACATTGTACGAAAGAAGGTAAAGATCATGCATTCAACTCTGTATTTTTATATCATGCCATATTTAATTTATCGAAGTGATCAATACATTAAAATTACAGGTTCGGTCCTTATTTTGTTGAACCAGTAATTGCTGGCCTTGACAAGAACAATCAACCATTTGTATGTGCGATGGATCTGATCGGTTGTGTTGATATTGCGCGAGATTTTGTGGTGGCTGGGACGGCTTCTGACAGCTTGTTTGGAATGTGTGAATCTTTATGGGAACCTGATTTGGTATTTTGCTACTGCCTTTCATGCCTTAATTGTATTCATTCTGTTTATCGCTGTAATTAAATTTGGTAATTTTATCAATATAAAGGAACCGGAAGATTTATTTGAAACAATTTCACAAGCATTATTAAATGCTGTTGATAGAGATTGTCTAAGTGGTTGGGGTGCTGTTGTTCATGTTATGTAAGTTAAATACCTCGTAAGTGTTTTTGTGAAAATAGTCAATGAATTAACATTTTTTTGTAGAACTCCCGAGAGGGTGATTACTCGTAATCTTAAAGCCCGTATGGTAATAAAATTTATACACTTTATTTATTTCAAATTTATTTCAAATAATCGCACAAATTAATTCTTAATTTGATTGTTTTATACACAGGACTAACAAAAAATAAAGTTGACAAAAAAATACAGTTGACTCTTTTTGTATTTATTTACTCTTTATATAATAAAATAATAGCTTCGTTATGTCACTTCCGAATCTAATTGAGTCAATACATACAATGTCCCAACAAATAAATTTAATAGATGCAAAAAAATCTCATCATAAAATATTAAATTTTTTGTTAATGAAGTGGTAATAAATGGAAATTGAAGTAATTTCATTATTAAGAAATTTTGCTGTAGTCAAATTTATTATAAATTACAGTCAGCTATGGATTAACGGACATGCATATAATAAATTCATTATAAATCCGTTTATATGTAAGTAAAAAAAAAACATAACGGATGTTTTAAAAATTTTATTAATAGGCCCTAGTTGATTGTAATATAATTCGGGCCAAAATTATTAGATCGAATAAACCGTGCAATATAGGAAATCTTGTGCAAGAATTGTTTTTTGATGTACAAGATTAAAAACTAAATAATACTAAAAGCACACCAGTGATGTTTAACACCATATACTTTATATTTTGCTGTAACACGTAAAATTTAGGATTAGGGTATTGCTCTAGGTTAGGATAAGATCAGAATTTAGAAATTAAAGTTTTGAGTACCAAATATTTTTATTAAGTTTTTGAAATATAGCAACTAGCAACTATGATGTTAAGTACCATTGTATGTTTTAAAATAAAAAAAATTGTATATAATAAATTATTATACAGTATGTACAGTATAAATTGTTTTTTTTATATAAAAAAGTATATTAGTTTCTTGTACACTGGGTAAGTAACTTTGGTTTTGAATTTTAAACACTGATAGTGCAGACAGCTTTAAAGTCTGTAAAATAAAAAATATCAAGATTTGTGTTTTTTAAGATTTTAGGTTAAACGGCGCTCATGTCCATTCCCAGCATTATGTGTCCCTAGTTAAGGCATAGATTATGTAAAATGGATTCTATATACCCAACATTTAAGCAATATCAAGTTCGTATGGTAAATATCTAGATTAAATTTTTATAATAAAATTAACAAAATCAATAATATTTTAACCAGTCAAATTATGAATGCTAGTGATTTGTTAGCTGTTAGAATAAAAATACTTGAGTAAAACTAGAATTACTATTAAACAACTTAATTTTAGATTTAAAAAGAAATTGTCAAATAATCCGTTAAAAAACTTTAACAAGTTTATTTACTCCAACTCACGTGTCTTACATTTCATCATATAACAAGTATAAATGAGAAAAAATATTGTTTGTAAAACATATCGCAATCAAAGAATATCTCTATTCAATAAATCAAATAAATATCGGTAAAGAAAAATAATTACTAGTCTTAACGTGATTTAAAGTATTCCATTAACACGTTCCTAGCTTCAGAATCTTCACCGTAATCTTTAACAACAACGCAAGAACAATTAACTACTTTACGAGGATTTCCTTCTCGATCAATTTTACAAAGACCAGCCCATTCGCCAAGTTTTTTTGCGTCGCTGACTTTGATCAATTGAATATTGTGTTCAGTGCAAAGGGCTTCAACGAGCTTGATGTATTCCTTTTCGGTACAAGTTTCGACAAGAACACACAAGAAAGCCTGGCGTCTAAACAAAATCCATGTAAGGATTATTCATTTTAATGAGATAATTCGGAATTTCGAACATTTACCTATCCAAAGCTTTAGCACATTCTCTTAGCCCACGCGCCAAACCATCAACGACAAGAGCACGTTTTAAGACATCTTTGAGTGCTTCTTCAACGGTCTATATATTTGTGAATAAATGCATGTATTTTACCCTTCCATATACTCAGGCTTATCGGAGGTATTAGAAACATTAACATACCATAGAACCCTTAGCAGGAGTGTCAGAAGTAATATGAATTTCTTCTTGTCCTCCGGCTTCAAGAGTATCTTCAGCTTCAGCCTCATCATCTCGGTCTGTTACCAAAGGTGGCATTTTAATTTTACTTGTTCAATGTTAAAGCCTTACTGGATTTGGTAATCCTAGACGTCTTCACTATTGAAGAAAAAGTTATTGAAAAATAAAGTGGATGGATGCGTATATAATACATTTTGTTATAATATGACGTGGCTAGAAATTATTGTCACTAACATGATGTAATTTTCGCGAAAAGCGATTAAAGAGAGGGATCAATATTTTTTGTGATCACGCTTTTTTTATACAGCAAATTTTTTTTTTTTTTTTAAATATATATATATATATCATATAATCGATATATCATATATAGCATTTCATGATAATCTATTTGTCTTACCAACCAAGCCACAAATTATGCTGAATAAAGTTTCTAATAGAGTTTGGTGCCGGTTTTATTTTTCATATGTAAAAACCGATTCAACCCGGTTTTAACATATAAAAAATAAAACCGGCTCCAAACTCTAGTCACTGACCAAAATTTGATTAAATGACTAAGTCAATACGTATTTCTGTAGCCGGCTAAATCGAAGTCGATCGTTTCTAATTGGTTAATCTCAAACAAGTGATTTTAAATGAATAATTATTAGGCACGAATTAATTTATATGTAGTAAAGGGTCCTTCATTTGCTAACGTTCGAAATTTCAAGTAACATCAAAGAATTTGGAAAAAATTTGTAATTGTAAAATGATTTTTTTTTGAAAGATTAGTCGTATTTTTGAAGTTTAAAAACTATCAGCTATATAAAGGCATGTGAATGCAGCAGAATTTTTGTTTAACAACTAGTGATGATCATTGTTACACTAACTTTTAATCTTTTGTTTACTTTTTTATATAACGATAAGTTTTACTGGTCTCGTAAAAATAAGGCCGACCTGCTTGCTCAAAATTTCACCTAACAAGTATCCATAATACCGTCACTTATGGATAATGAAAAAAAAAAAAGCTCGACTCAAAGTAGTCGCTCCTTCGAACCTCCTCTAATAATCAAACCTCCAAAAAAACCGAACCAAGAATTCAAGCGACGCAAACTACTCGGCGAGGTTGGGCATTCTTAATAGTTTACACAATAAGTTTGTTTATGATATTGATTAAAAGTGAAACTAAGTCTCATGAAATCATCGTGTTTAACAATAAATTTAGGGTGGGTTTGGAAAATGTTATGAAGTAGAGGATAAAGAAGGAAGAGTACTTGCCGCAAAAGTCGTTGCCAAATCATCGTTACGGAGTTCAAAAAATAGAGATAAGGTATAATATAACTGCAGTACCAATACATTGCTATTTTACAATTGTAAATTTTTTTATAGAATTATTAAGTTTCTTTTTCTTTTCTTTTTTCTTTTTTTTTTTTTTTTTTACACATAGCTCCTTAGCGAGATCCAAATTCACAAGAAGATGGATCATCCGCATATAGTCAAATTTTATGAATGCTGTGAAGATTCTTCATTTGTGTACATGATAATGGAACTTTGTGAAAATAAAGTACGTAATGTAATGAATTATATTGTAATGTCGCGTAATTACGCGTACCTTTAAATTATAAACTAAAATTTTAATTAACAGACTTTAGCTTACATGAACAAAAGAAGACAAAGGTTGACCGAAGCTGAAGTTCGTTATTTTATGCGTCAACTTCTTGATGCATGCGAATATATGCATCGGCATTTTGTCATTCATCGTGATCTCAAGTTAGCGAATCTCTTCTTATCTAAAGATATGAAAATCAAAATCGGTGATTTTGGTTTAGCGGCCCAATTGGAACGCGAGGGTGACAGGAAAAAGTAATATCAATCTCGTTATAATAACTTGTTATTTAATGTTCCATGTTAATTTTTCTTTATATATAGAACGATATGCGGTACTCCAAATTATATCGCACCGGAAGTATTATTCGACCAAGTAAAGGGTCATAGTTTTGAAGCTGATGTGTGGTCTTTGGGCGTTATAATGTAAAATGTTGTTTATAAATATATTTTTAAATCTATTTTAATTTTTTCATATAAATTTTATAACCTTTTTTATTATTTATAATAAAAATAGGTATACTTTATTGTTTGGTAGGCCACCTTTCCAAACGGAAGGAAAGGTTGATCAAATATACAAGTTGGTTTCAATCATATGTATGTTGTTAAGATCATTATTTTTACAATTCGGATTGAACCTGACTTTATTCCAATAGGAAAATCAAGGAATTGAAATATGATTTCCCAGGAAATATTAACGACGTGTCCAAAGAAGCAAAAGCATTAATTAATTTAATGCTGACATTGGATCCTGGTAGCCCTTTAATGAAAAAAAGTCTTCGTTTAAAATCGTTAAATATTAAATAGTTTTTTTTTGTTTTTAATTAAGAAAAACGACCAACAATTCAACAAGTTCGGGATCATGACTTCTTTCGTCTAGGAGTTACTCCATCTGAAATACCTGTATCTGCATTGAATATCGCGCCGAGTTTCGAGCTTCCTCCACTTACAAGGCCTCGCATTAATTTGTCCCTTGCCAATAGACGACCACTAAGAGTCATTCAAATTGGCACGAATCTGAATAATTTGAATTCTACCTCTGCTTATACCGCCAAGAAATCTATTTATCCCATTGATGTAAAACCTTTGCCATCAAAATCGGAGAAAAAGTTGATTAATCGTGTAACCTCAAAGCCCGAACCAAGTTCCACACAAGCCCCTCTTATTCCAGCTTCCGCGATAAATTCTGAACGTGCACAAGACATTGCAAATTCGATTGCAAATGCTATTGTCCCTAATGATTATAATGCGAGTTCTACAAGTAGCACGTGCATTACCAAAAAAGAATTTTCAAGTAAGACTCTACTGTTTTTTCTTTTTTTTTTCATGTAATTTTATCCTTATTCAACATGTGGTATTTTTTATCAGATAAAACAAGGGTTGGCGTTCTTGAATCAGTATATAATACCCTATCTACAGCATTTGATCAAATGTTAGAAGGAAAGGAAGTGTTACCGCACGTTTTCGATGATAGTAAGTAACCTCTAATTTATTTTATATTTTTAATATATATATATATATATATATTAATTATATTATAAACATTTATTTTTAGAACAACCTACAACACCAATTGTGTTTATTAGTAAATGGATGGATTATACTAATAAATATGGACTTGGATATCAGTTGACAGATGGTTCTGTTGGTGTGAATTTTAATGATAAAACTACATTGATAATGTCTCCAAACGGACAGTATGTGATCTTTCTTTATAAATAAAATCTGTCTTTTTTATAATTATTAATTTCAATTTATTTATCTCATTAGCAATTGCGAATACATTTATAACAATAAAACATCAGCAAATTGTATAGTGCCAACGCGTGAACCCTTCACAATAAATGATTACCCGAAAGATTTGAGTAAAAAGTTTTTTCTATTACAGAATTTCCGCAATTATATGAATGAAGTTCTTCCAAAAATAAGCACTACTTATACTTTTGTTGATAACAATCTAACTCATAATATGGAATTCTTGACAAAATATAAACGAACGCCTCATGCTGTTCTATTTAGGCTAAGCAACCGTCTAGTGCAGGTTTGTAGTATTTATTACTTTAAGTAATTTCAAAGATCTTCTATATAATGAATATATATTATGCTATGATTCTTCAAGGTAAACTTCTTTGATCATGAGAAGATCATACTTTCAGAAGAAGGGCGGGCAATAACATATATTGACGAAGCACGTGGAATTAACACATATACGATTTCTGAGATATTGAAAGGTGATCATGCAACAGAAAAAAATCGGCTGAAATACGTAAAAGACGTTTTAAAAAAACTTGTAGAAGCAGCTCATAAAAATAGTAAAACTGAGAGTAATAAAATTTAGTTTGCGGTTGCTAATCAACAATATATATACATATTTATTATTATATATTTGTGTAAATAATATGCTACTAATGTTATAATTCTTTAGAATTTTTAACTATAATAATTCTAAATGTGCAAATAGATTCAGATAATCAAATTACTATCACTATACGTTTTATTGTTTTAGAATTACATTATGATTCTTTTGCACGTATTGATAGATATTATAAACCCAAAAAATTAAATGTAATGCTAAGTGTCGTACTGATTAGAAAATCCGGGATCTATATTATACCACATTTGCGCGAAATAACGCCCAGGGCGTTATTTTGAGGTACACAATTTCCAGAGTACTAAGAATTAATTTAGACAAATACAGATGATAATTTTGAAATTTCATCTAATTCTTAGATCGTATTCTTGAAATAACGTTCCAGACGTTATTTCAAATGAATATAGTATAATTAAAAGTATGTTGTGGTTAATAGATTAGTAGATTCTAATCGAAATATTTTGCTAATGCTTGGCTAAATTTGATAAAGGTCTTTCATTTATTTTTTTTCAATTTTTGGCGGTCACGCCAACATCTTTTATTAAGTTTATTGTTTATAATGTTTCTAGGTTCAACATTTTCTAACTACTTTTATAAGTACCTAAAAATGATCTGTTACACTGGCTTGAAAGTAATTTTTGATATTAGAAGGTTGTATTTAGCTATTTTAGTATAATTTTTTTAATTGTATTTCTTTATAAATTATTTATTTTTTTATTTATTTTTTATTTTTTTTCATTTTTTTAGAATTTTAATTTTTTTTATTTGTATCTTGTTTTTTTTTTAAAAAAAAGTCATACTTTGTGGCAATATTTTATTGACTTTTATTGGGTTAGTTATTGCAACTATTTTTACAGAAATAAGAGTACAATTAGTCATGCATGCAACTTTTGGTTGCCTATTTAAGTAGTTCATCTTAAAGTTCTATACTAGATGTCATACTTATAACCTACTAGGAGATTATTTATTTAAATTCTCTGATCATCTGCTTTGTTATAATGTAATTCCAATTAATCTCTTATATATACCTAACTGATATACCATCTGAGCAGTATGATATCTACTTTTTTTGTACTAGTTCTTAGATTGTTACATATTTCAAAGTATGTTATTTGCCAGTAAGGCACAAGAGGCTTTCTGTTGTTAACTATTTATTTATTTTTAGAACACTAACAAGGGTTATTCTTACAGAGTTTATTCAGACTCTAGTATTAACTTCATAGTATATTCTTAATTTTTAGTATACTTCTATTTTGATCTTAGATTCTCAATTCAGATAGTTCAGAAGGACTGTAACCTGTTTTTGATATATTAAGACTGGCTTAATATTCTTTTCTTTCAGTTTGAAATCTGGAAGCCTGGTTGGTAATATCTCTTACTCTAGATTCTTGTTCATCTAACTTCTTTATATTAATATTCATTTCTTAGGTCTAGCCTTTACAGTAGTAGTGTCAATGATCTATATTACTACTCTGCTCAGAATTTTAAAATAAGCTTTAGCTTCTCAGTTCTACAGATTTATATAGTCTAAGAACTTATTTTAGGTTTACATCACCTGGTATCAGTTTATATTTCTTTATATAACAAGTTACACAAATGCTTTAGACCTGCCAGTTATGCTAGTGCAACTATAGTTACAAGTATCCTATCTTAACTAATCAACAAAATACTATCATTATAATACTGTCTATATATTATATAGGTGATTATCTAAATTTTACTATTGATGGGTTTTAAACTTACAACCTACCACTTAAAAGGATGATAACTTATCTACTTTACTAAGTTATTATATTCTTTATATCTTGATTTGATTTGGTCTTTTTTTTATTTTTTTTAAACTATTTTTTTGATATTAAAATATTTAAACTTTTTTTATATATATATATATATATATATTTTAACATTAAAGTTCTTGTTTTTGGAAATTAATTTTTTTATTCAAGTATTTAAACACAGATGCTTCCAGGGGTTTCTATTTATAGAAGGTTACAACTAGTCACATGTGCATTTTTGATGTCTAATTTAAGTAGTTCACCTATACATTACTATACAGATTCTATACTAGATGCCATACCTGCAAGTCAATTACAAGTTTTGCCTATTTAAACTTTTTGCATATGTAATCTGACTTGTAATTATAAGGACATCTTTTGGACTACACTTATCCAAAGTACCCAATACTTTTGAGACTCTTAGAACTAGTTTATCTTTAACAGAAAACTTACTAAAAACTTCTGTATTCTATACATAGCTAATCTAGTTTTATACAATATGTTATAGTTATCTAATACTTGCAGTTACAAGAGTTATTTGTTTAACCACTATATTATACTATTTTTATCTTTATAAAATTCACTAGAACCCCAGTATCTATCATCATGATGTTTTCTCTATCATCCCTTGCTAACTGCTACTTAGGATCAACAAAACTTCCCTAACTTCTAATCCAAATAGCCCAGTATAGTATACTTATATATTTTTTTCTTTTAATGATTCTGGCAACCTGGTTGGTTATATGCTTCTTTATATATCTTGATATTCAGTTTATTTGCCTATTCTTTTAGGAGTATTTTATGAGCTTTTATTAGTCTGACTGTATTATTGAAAGTTCATGCTACCTCTTTATTCAGGAATTTCCAAGTGGGCTTCTGACTCTTTAGTTTCTTAGTTTACTGTGTCTAGCGGTCTTATTGTAAATTTGCACTGAATACTTATATAATATTAGTTATTAACATTTCTCTATGTACATGTAACATTACACTTGGCATAGATGCCCTGAGCTCTCATTTAAGATAGTGCAACTTAAAGTTACAGATACACAAATCCAACTGATTATCAAGAAACAGTTTGTCATAATACAGATTAATTTCCAAATTTTGGTATAATTGGAATTTGAACCTTAGATCTGCCACTTGGAGAATAACAACCTGATCACTATATTAAGATTACCATCCTCTTCTTTTTTATATATTTATTTGTTTATATTTTTATATTCTTATAAAAATAATTTTATATATTTGTAATTGTTTAATAAAGATTTTTGTTTTATGTAAGAACTGATATAATTTTTAAATTTTAAAAATGTTTTTTTTAAAGCTAATTTTATTAGTTTTTTATCTTATTTTTATTTTTTTTTAATAAAATTATAAAAAAATTCTTTAACTGATTTTTGTTTAACTGTTTTTATTTTTTTTAATAATAAGTTTTATCTAATAATTTGTTATTAAATCTTTTGCAACCATTTAGTCTTGCTTATAATGTTTGTATTTTGTTAAATAATTCTAATATTTTTTTATTATTATACAAAATATATATTGGTTCTAATATAAATTTAGTTATTTTATAATTAGTATTTTTAGAATTAAAAGTTTGTTATTTAGCTATTTATTAAATTGTATAATTATTTTTTTAATTAATAAATATCTTATTTTGTTATAATTTTTAAGTTTTTTTATAAAATTTTATTTTTATTCTTTTATTGTTTTTTAAATTTTTTTTTAAAATATAAATAAAAACTTTATTAATAATAATAAAAATTATATTAAAAATTTTTAAATTACATTTTAGTTATTTATTTTAAAACATTTAATATAATATTACATCTCTATTTCTATATAACATTATTATTAATTATTTCAAATTAATTTTAAGTATAAAAAGATTAAAAGAAACTAAAATAATAGTTTAGTAAATATAATTAGTAAATAAATAGTCTAAAAATAATTAATTTTTAATAAATATAGTAGAATCAATAGTAGATATATTAAAGGTATTAAATATTAATTAAAAATGAAAAACTAAAAAGTATATTATAATAAAATTTACTAAAAACTAGCAAGCTGTAGTAATTTTAAATACATGAATGCCAAGTAGAAAATCTTTTATTTAAAGAAAAATAAAATAACTAAAAATAAGAAATAAATATTTAAAAGTAGAATTTAAATTCAATAGCCTTCTAGACACTATAAGGTACAACAATAGAACTAGCTTTTAAACTAATCCTACTGTCTAGTCTATGCAGATCAGATATAACAAAATGTTTACCTTATACAAGGATTATTAGACTTTAAAATTTAGAAATATCTATAGAGTATAACCAGAAAAAAAAGCCTTAATAATCAAACTGTTTATAACTATATATAGCCTTTAAATTTTAATAATATAAAGCTAGTATTTGCCAAATAACTAATTAAAAAAACTAGCTATTTACTTTATATTATTAAAAGAAAAAGAACAATAAAATAAATAATATAAAGCTAGTATTTGTCAAATAACTAATTAAAAAACCCAGCTTTTTACTTTATATTATTATAAAAAACAAAAAATAAAAATAAAAAAAATAAAGATAAAATATAAAAAAAATAAGCTAACGAATAAAATAAAGAATAG